CGACCGGAGACCTCCCCAGCCCTGCTGTGGACGGGGAAGGTTGGCGATGCGTCGGCGTTCCGGGTCTGGGGATCTCGGGCGTTTGTTCGCGACCTGTCTGCGGACAAGCTGTCCCCTCGTGCTTCTCCCTGCGTCTTCCTGGGGTTCCCCCCCGATGCCCCTGGGTGGCAGTTTTACCACCCCACCTCTCGACGTGTTCTGTCCTCCCAGGACGTCACGTTCGACGAGTCGGTACCCTACTACCGCCTCTTCCCCTACCGCACTCCGTCCCTCCCCCCACCCCCGCTCTTCTTGGTACCAGGTCCCCCCCCGGTAGTCCCCCTCCCCCCTCAGGGTCCTGCCCCTTCAGGTGTGTCCCAGGTAGACGCGGTCGAGCCTGTCGAGGTCACTGGTGACTCTGGTGCTGCTGCGGGAGCTGAGCCTGGGGGTGCGGAGTCTGGGGGTGCTGAGCCTGGAGGTGCCGAGTCTGGGGGTGCTGAGCCTGGGGGTGCTGAGCCTGGAGGTGCTGTGCCTGGGGGTGCTGAGCCTGGAGGTGCCGAGTCTGGGGGTGCTGTGCCTGGGGGTGCTGGGCCTGGGGGTGCTGAGCCTGGGAGTGCCGTGCCTGGAGGTGCTGTGCCTGGGGGTGCTTCGTCTCGCCGGGAGCCACTCTCCCCACAGGAGCTGCGTGAGTGGTTTGCCGGGCGCTGGAGGCGTGCTGCTGGTGCTGGTGGTTCTTCGACTGCAGAGGGCACTGCTGCTGCGCGCCCCGCCGGCGCTCGTACTGTGGGTGCTGGAGCTGCTGAGTCTGAGAGTTCTCCTGGAGCTGGTCCTGCTGAGGGTGTTGGCGCTGAGCCTGCCGTTGGCGGCCTGACTGACAGTGCTCCTGGTGCTGCGGCTGGAGGTTCTGGTGCTGCTGGAGGTGCTGCTGGAGTGGGTGCTCCTGCCGGGGCTGCTGGTGCTGTTCCTGCTGTTTCTAGCGTCGCCGCGCGGCCCCGACCGTACTTCGTTCCGCTCCTGCAGCAGGTTCTTGGTCTTACACCTCCTCCTCCTCCCTTAGAGGGTCCGCAGCCTGTCCGGTCACAGCCACAGCTACAGCCTGCCTCCCCTTTGCCTGCTCCTTCTCCCTACGCTGGTCCGACTGGAGGTCTTACTGAGCGTCGTGAGCCTGCGTCTCGTCCTGTGTCGCCTGTTCGTACTGAGCGCGCTAGTGGTCGCGGGTCGCGTCAGCGTCCTCCTCCTGTCCCTGGCACGCACCGGATGTCACTGCGTCCGTCCACTGCTCCTCTGCGTGCCCCTTTGCCTTCTCCTCCTGCTTCCTCTCTTCCTGCTCTGGCCGACCCGGAGTCGGACGCTCTTCGTGCTGCCAGTCCTACTGTCACGCGTCTCCTGGCTACTGCTGTCACTGACCCCTCCTTCGAGTCGTCTGCTGCGTCTGCCCTTGTCACTGAGCTTGTCGACTTTGCTGCGCGCTGTCGTCTAGACTACGCTGCTCGTCTTGTCACTGAGTCTGAGTCCGCCTGTCCTCCGTCCGTCGGGGGTGAGTGTGCCCTTGGCACGGACGTCCTTGAGGACAGGCAGGAGGAGTTCCAGTGTCTGGCCGCAGCTTCACCTCGTCTCGCGTCTGTACTGCTAGCCCCTGAGGGAGACCCGGATGCACCAGACATCCCGACTCCGCGCTCTTACGCGGAGGCGATAGAGGGTCCCTACTCCTCTCAGTGGCAGGCAGCTATGGATGCAGAGATGGCTTCCTGGAAGTCCACAGGCACCTACGTTGACGCTGTTCCCCCTCCTGGGGCAAACATCGTCAGTGGCATGTGGATTTTCAGGGTGAAGCGGCCGCCGGGTTCTCCGCCTGTCTTCAAGGCGCGTTACGTGGCTCGTGGCTTCAGTCAGCGGCAGGGGGTTGACTACTTTCAGACCTTCTCCCCCACCCCGAAGATGACCACTCTTCGAGTTCTGCTACACGTTGCTGCTCACCGTGACTACGAGCTGCACTCTCTCGACTTCAGCACAGCTTTCTTGCAGGGCAGCCTGCACGAGGAGATCTGGCTGCGTCGCCCACCTGGCTTCACTGGGTCTTTGCCTCCTGGTACCCAGTGGAGTCTCCGGCGTCCAGTCTACGGTCTCCGCCAGGCGCCACGTGAGTGGCACGACACACTGAGGACTACGCTCGCGGCACTTGGGTTTGCTCCTTCCACTGCCGACCCGTCGCTGTTTCTGCGCACCGACACCTCTCTGCCGCCGTTCTACATCCTCGTGTACGTCGACGACTTGGTCTTTGCCACAGCTGACACTGCTGGACTCGCCTACGTGAAGTCCGAGCTGCAGAAGAGACACACGTGCACTGACCTGGGTGAACTGCGCAGCTACCTTGGCTTGCAGATCACCCGGGACAGAGCACGCCGCACCATTACCCTGACTCAGTCACACATGGTGCAGCAGGTCCTTCAGCGCTTCGGCTTCACGTACTCCTCGCCTCGGGCCACTCCTCTGCCTACTCGCCACTCGCTCTCAGCTCTGCCTTCGGATGAGTCCGTAGAGTCGAGTGGCCCGTTTGCAGAGCTTGTTGGCTGCCTCATGTACCTGATGACCTGCACACGACCTGACCTCGCATACCCTCTTAGCATTCTCGCACGCTTTGTTGCTCCTGGGAGACACCGACCAGAGCACATGGCTGCAGCGAAGAGGGTGTTGCGCTACTTGTGCAGTACGTCGGGCATGGGGCTAGTGCTTGGAGGGCGCAGTCCAGTGGTCCTCACTGGGCACGCAGACGCTTCTTGGGCTGACGACCAGGCTACGCAGCGGTCGTCACAGGGTTACACCTTCAGCCTTGGTTCCGGCTCTGTCTCGTGGCGGGCTACCCGCTCGTCTTCTGTTCTCGGCTCCAGTTGTGAGGCTGAGATCTACGCTGGGGCCATGGCTGCACAGGAGTTACGCTGGCTCACCTACCTGCTGACCGACCTTGGAGAGCAGCCTCGTTCTCCTCCAGTCCTGTACGTAGACAACAAGGCCATGCTGGCCTTGTGTCGAGAGCAGCGACTGGAGCACAGAACGAAGCACATTGCTCTTCGCTACTTTCTTGCTCGTGAGCTACAGCAGCGTGGACAGCTGCGACTTGCGTACGTGGCCTCTGAGGCCAACACTGCTGATGTTTTCACCAAGGCACTTGCGCCTTGTGATCATCAGCGTTGCTGCACGCAGTTGGGTCTTGTGCCTGTATTGCCTCACTTGCTCTCCTCTTGACCTTGCTTGTACTTTCGCATATATATACTCTTGCTCTTGTATATCTCTATATATGATCTTGCATGTGAACTGGCCTTGTGGCCTTTGAACTTGTGCTCGGAATGCGTGGTGACTTTGTGATCCACCCTGAGCTTTGCTTTGCTTTGTTTGACCGGTCTTGTGACCCCTTGTTCTCCCCCACTTTGCCTATGGGGGTGTGTCAGAACTCATAGCTTACTTGTTTCTGTAGGCTATAGTGGGGTATCCCATAGGGGGTACAACCCAATTAGGGTTTCCTATTTGTACTCACTTCGTTCATAGTCATTCCACTTCTCGTTCGTACTTTCTCAACCTGTAGTATCTGTGTCAAACCTCATAAGTATGGATGCAACCAAAGGATATATTTGCCTTTTGCATTTTCGCAAGCATCAAACTCGAGTGTCACTTCTCTTATCGTAGCCTTTTACCGAACTCTTGTAGCTATGACTCTGTCGACACGCAGTTTCATGCTTGCGCCGTCACCAATCTGTCGTGACAAGAAACATCTCAGACGTCAATTTATCGTCTAAAAAAGAGTCGTCCGTTGGACTCGTCCTTTTTCCAAGCTCTCGTAGCTATGTTGTATCGAGGAGCACCATGCTAGTGTCAACGTCCTTTGAAAATTTCCCACTGGAAGTACACAGCAAGGAGTGAGTAGTACCAAGTGATTTCACCAAGCAAATTCTACCAACCACCAGTAGCAACCTCGAACGTCTGTAACTTGGCGAAGAACATGTTGGTGGGGGCGAGTCAAATGGGGAAGGGAGCTGCAAGCAGGATAATGCTGCGAAGGGCCCAAAAATCTTCGCGAAAGGGTTAAGTGAAACATTTACGCTAGCGAACAAAATGGAGTGAGTCGGGGAAGCGCGCATTTGTTGTTGACACCATGTGTCGAAAGAGTTGCAGTACAAAAATCTGAAATACAAGAATGTGAAAGTGTAGCCGAATTAAAGATAGCGAAACTGTATGTATACCCTTCATCTACAGTTCAGTCCCTTTTCTATGACACATGCTACCACATCTTCCGCATTTTCCATCAACGAGCTGGACTCTCTCATGTGGGATCAAGTCAACCAGTTTCAGCAGGCGCGACCAGTAGAGGTCTCCCTGCGATCAGACCTTGTGGCGTGCCGTGACTATCGGCAGTACATTTTGTGATTCACGTTGCCCTCGCAGGTTGTATTTGAATTTGCCAAACCCTTCGCGAACGAGAATTGTCACTCGCGACACTCGTTACGCCATAGTCGCAACACACCTCCCCCTCGCTTGTGTTGAACACGAGAACAGCGAGACTCACGGAATGTACCTGGCGCAAAAACATATTCCCCGCCAAATGTTCATTCCAAACCAACCCAAACCAACCCCCATGAACGAAATCGTGTGCAAGCCACGTTCTCACCACCCTCCTATAAAAACCACTCGTCATTTGCATAGCGGAATCATCAGCATCAGCAGATCTTCTCATTATTCTTCATGGAAGCTCTTCGAGAGCGATTGCCTGTTCCCTTGGAGTCGCTTTCCTTCGCCTCGCGACATCCACTCTGTCCGTTAGTTCCTAGCACTTTGACAAGTGCCAAATTTTCGCCGCCACAATGGGGTACAAGATGCTAGGCATGTCCTTGTCGCTGCTTCTTCTCGCGCTTTTCGTAGCGTCAGCCTCCGTCGCGCCTAGTAAGATCCCGCACCTCGTATCCCCTCTTTTTGACACCTCTTTATCCTTCCTTAAAAAACAGATTCGTATCTATGGCGAATAAAATAATATGGCCAGCACGAAAGTCCGCCGCGCCAAGTAAGATTACACGCCTCGTATCACCAGTTTTTTTCACCAACACCTCAGTTTCCTCCCTCTAAGAAACCAAAATTCTTTTGAGAGGCGCGAGAGTGTTTCGCACCTGGTAAGTTCTCGATCCTTGTATCAACCGCTTTTCCCACAATCGCTGACCTTATTACGCACCTCCGCACTAGTGACACTCGCTACCGCGCTGCGCTTCCTGCTGAGTTCTGCGCCAAGAACCCCCCCCCCCCCCCCCCCCCATGTACATCACCCTCTACTACATAGTCACCCGGCTCCCTGAATCTCTCCGCGTAGTCAGGGACCAGTTCCTCTCAGTTTGCCCCACCACTCTCACCGTTGACCTCCTCGAGAAGGCCCTCCTAGCGATAGAGAAGAGCATAGTCGCTGTAGGAGCCTCTCGTGGTGACCCTCGCACCCCCGTCTTTGAGGGGTGTTCTCCCTCCCCCCTCTTGCCATTTGTTGCCTCTGGTGCTGCGGCCGACCTCGTTGGTTTCGAGTCGGTCGGCGCTGCGTCTGCCCCGAGCGGGAGACGCCGCACCAGCAAGGGCAAGGGGGGCAAGGGCGCTCGAGGGGCTGGAGGGGGCGGTGGAGGTGGTAGTGGAGGCAGTGGAGGGAGTGGGGGTGGTGGTGGGAGTGGTGCCGGGGGTGGCGGCGGCGGCAGCAGTGGAGGCGGCGGAGGCGGTGGAGGTGGCGGAGGGAGCGGAGGCGGCGGAGGTAGTGGAGGAGGCGGAGGTGGAGGAGGCGGCAGAGGCGGCGGAGGCGGCAGCGGAGGCGGCGGTGGTGGAGCGATTCGCGACTCTGCGCAGAGGAGTGGCGCCGGTGGTGGTCAGCACGAGCAGCAGCAGCGGAGTGGTGTGACCTTGTCCCCTCAGCAGCTTCGTGAGTGGTACACTGCGCGTCAGCATGGTGGGGGTTTTGCTCCCTGCTCTTACGTCCTCCGTACCGGCGACCGCGCTGGTGAGCAGTGCGGAGGCCCGCACTCCACCCAGCGATGCTTTGGTTGCCTAACAGACACGTGGCATCGCCAATTCCCTGAGGCGTCAGAGATCCCTCGCTGGGGAGATCTGGCTAAGGCCGGGGTTGCTATCTTTGATCTTGACTTTGATGCTATCCTTGCTGCCATGTATGCTGTTGATACTAGTGTTGCTGGTGACTGTTACCTCTGTGTACCGCCTGACCCGGGCTTTGAGGCTTGTGCTCTAGGTACTGGTGAGGCTGCTGCTCTAGGTACTAGTGCGTCTGCCGCCCCAAGTGCTGGTGAGTCTGCTCTCTCAGGTACTACGTCGGCTCAGGCCTTCCACACCTTCACCCAGGACTCGAGTGCATCCCGCTCCTTCTTTCAAGAACGCACCACTCTTACGCCGCTCAGCCGGCCGGTTGCAGTCTCCCTGACAGACCCCTCTGGGGATCCTGTCCTTGCTAGCTTCTCCACTGTCCTTCCGTGCCTCGCAGCCCCCTCTGGCACCCTGTCTTGTCTCTACCTCCCCTTGTTCTCTACGAACTTGGTGAGTGGAGCAGACCTACAGGATCGAGGGGCTGACCAGTTCACTCCTACGAGTCAGCAGGTGACCCACTGCACGTGTGCTCGGAGAGGCCGACACTTGGCCACGTTCACCCGTCGGCCAGGGTCGAGCCTGTACACCCTTACTACTTGACTTCAGCATAGCTTTCCTGCAGGGCAGCCAGCACGACGAGATCTGGCTGCGCCGCCCACCTGGATTCACTCGGTCGTTTCCTCCTGGTACCCAGTGGTACCTCTAGCGGCCAGTCTACAGTCTCTGCCAGGTGCCCCGTGAGTGGCACGACACACTGAGGACTACACTTGCGGCTCTTGGTTTTGCTCCTTCTATAGCCGACCCGTCGCTGTTTTTGCGCACCGCCACCTCTCTGCCTCCGTTCTACATCCTCGTGTACGTCAACGACTTGGTCTTCACGTGAAGTCGGAGCTGCAGAAGAGACACACGTGCACAGACCTGGGTGAACTGCGCAGCTACCTTGGCTTGCAGATCACCCGGGACAGAGCACTGTGCACCATTACTCTGACTCAGTCACACATGGTGCAACAGGTCCTTCAGCGCTTCGACTTTACGTACTCCTCGCCTCAGGCCACTCCTCTATCTACTCGCCACTCGCTCTCAGCTCTGCCTTTGGATGAGTCCGTAGAGTCGAATGGCCCATACCCAGAGCTTGTTGGCTGCCTCATGTACCTGATGACCTGCACACGGCCTGACCTTGCATACCCTCTTAGCATCTTGGCACGCTATGTTGCTCTTGGGAGACACCGACCAGAGTACATGGCTGCAGCGAAGAGGGTGTTGCGCTACGTGTGCAGTACGTCGGGCATGGGGCTAGTGCTTGGAGGGCGACGTCGAGTAGTCCTCACAGATCATAGTGACGCTTCTTGGGCTGACGACCAGGCTCTGCAGCGGTCGTCACATGGTTACGCCTTCAGCCTTGGCTCCGGCTCTGTTTCGTGGCGGTCTACCTGCTCGTCTTCTGTTCTCACCTCCAGCTGTGAGGCTGAGATCTACGCAGGGGCCATGGCTGCACGAGAGCTACACTGGCTCACCTATCTGCTGACTGACCTAGGAGAGCCGCCTCGTTCTCCTCCAGTTCTGTACGTAGACAACAAGGCCATGCTGGCCTTGTGTCGGGAGCACAGACTGGAGCACAGAACGAAGCACATTGCTCTCCGCTACTTGTGTGAAACAAGTGAACAGGGATGTGTGAACTATGAATGAAGGCAGTACAAATATGAAACCCTAACTGGGTTGTACCCCCTATGGGATACCCCACTACAGCCTACACAATAGTATAAGCTATAGATATGTTCTGACACACCCCCATAGGCAAAGTGGGGGAGAACAAGGGGTCACAAGACCAGTCAAGCAAAGCAAAGCAAGCTCGGGGTGGATCACAAAGTCACCACACAGTCCGAGCACAAGAGCAGGGCCAGAGGCCAGTTCATATGCAGGAGTACAGACATATATATATATAAAACTAGACAAGCAAGAGCAGGTATATATATATGTCACAGTACAAGTAAAGTCAAGAGGAGAGCAAGTGAGGCAAGACAGGCACAAGACCCAGCTGGGTGCAGAAGCGCTGATGGTCACAAGGCGCGAGTGCCTTGGTGAACACATCAGCAGTGTTGGCCTCAGAGGCCACGTACGCAAGCCGCAAGTGTCCACGCTGCTGTAGCTCACGAGCAAGGAAGTAGCGAAGAGCAATGTGCTTCGTTCTGTGCTCCAGACGCTGCTCTCGACACAAGGCCAGCATGGCCTTGTTGTCAACGTACAGCACTGGAGGAGAACGAGGCGGCTCTCCAAGGTCAGTCAGCAGGTAGGTGAGCCAGCGAAGCTCATGTGCAGCCATGGCCCCGGCGTAGATCTCAGCCTCACAACTGGAGCTGAGAACCGAAGACGAACGAGTAGCCCGCCACGAGACAGAGCCGGAACCAAGGCTGAAGGTGTAACCCTGTGACGACCGCTGCGTAGTCTGGTCGTCAGCCCAAGAAGCGTCTGCGTGCCCTGTAAGGACCACTGGACTCCGCCCTCCAAGCACTAGCCCCATGCCTGACGTACTGCACAGGTAGCGCAATACCCTCTTCGCTGCAGCCATGTGCTCTGGTCGGTGTCTCCCAAGAGCAACATAGCGTGCAAGAATGCTCAGAGGGTATGCAAGGTCAGGCCGTCTGCAGGTCATCAGGTACATGAGGCAGCCAACAAGCTCTGGGTACAAGCCACTCGACTCTACGGACTCATCCGAAGGCCTTAGCGGAAGTCACATCCAACCTCCAGAACTCCACTTAGGCACGCCCACAGGCCATGGTGGGTCTAGGAGGGTCTTCACACTTCAGTAGACTCCCCACAAGGTCCTTAATCAGCTCTGATACCACTTGTTAGAGATTAAGGATCGAGTCTGTGAAGATTAGGAGCCTAAATTTCTCAAAATCGTTGGCTTGAAATTCTGGACAGAATCGTCGAGTTCACAAGAAACGTCGTCGGCTAAACTTGCACCGTTGGAATTGTCTCAAACTCGAGTATGTTGTAGCCTGTAACTAGGGCTATCTTTCCCAATTTGAATCGTATCCAATGGTGTAGTAAATCTCGAGTTATGATTTTCGGCGCACTAGGGGGTATGCTGCCACATGCTTAACTCAATCACAATGGTTCTCACAAGTTCCACAAAGTTACACACAAGAGAGTTAGGGTAGCACTAAACCAGGTAGGAGGGAAGAGGAGGACGAGAGGGAAGGTCCCAAGAGATTCCCCAACCAAGGAAACCCCATGCCACACAATTCCCTTCCCCATAGGCAACCCCACTTTCACATTTGTCACTTTCCCAACTCATGCCATCCACCTCAACCCACTTGGCCACACTTGCCAACCTGGTTTGGCTTCACCCAACCACATGGCAGCATTCTACAGTGATGGGTTCGAATTCCCAACCCCCAAAAGTCTGTACCCCATATTGAGTCAACCCCACAACTTCCCATAGTCGCCACAACCGAAGTACAGAAAGCATACGAACTCCAACGTTCGTAACTTTCTTGATATTGCTCCGATCGCGACGATTCTTGGCTCGTCGGAAAGATCTTGAGCAGTGGAGTCACTTCAGATATCTGCTCAAGCCAAATAACATTCACACACACTCAGAAAATCCAAACCACAGAAAAACACAAATTCTTGCGCACGCTCATTTCACACATGCAACGCACGAACACATGATGGGAGGCAGACAGACGTGAATGCAAATGATAGCATCACATAACACTCAGCGACAAGAGCAGACGCAGCAGTGGACTCAAAAGAGGGGTCAGTGACGACAGTAGCAAGCAGACGCGTGACAGTACGACTGGCAGCACGAAGAGAGTCCGACTCCGGGTCGGCAAGGGCAGGAAGAGAGGACTCAGGAGGAGAAGGCAAAGGGGCACGCAGAGGAGCAGTGGACGGACGCAGAGACATCCGGTGCGTGCCAGGGACAGGAGGAGGACGCTGACGCGAACCGCGACCACTAGTTCGAGCAGCACGAACAGGCGACGCAGGACGAGACGCAGGCTCACGACGCTCAGCAAGACCTCCAGTAGGACCAGTGTAAGGAGAGGGAGCAGGCAGTGGAGAGGAAGGCTCCAACAGTGACTATGACTGGACACGCTGTGAACACTCTACCGGAGGAGAAAGACCAAGAACCTGTTGCAGGAGCGGAACGAAGTACGGCCGAGGCCGCGCGGCAGCTCCAGACTCAGCAGGGACAGCACCAGCACCCTTAGCGACAGCACCAGCGCCACCAACACCTCCAGCGGCAGGACCTCCAGCAGCACCAGTAGCAGAACCACCGCCGGGACAGACAGCAGTAGTCTCAGCACCAACACCCTCAGGAGCTCCTGCTCCAGGAGTACCCGCAGACCCAGCAGCTCCGGGACCGGCAGCACCAGCACCCTCGACGGTCGAAGAAGCTCCAGCTCCAGCAGCACGCCTCCAGCGGCGAGCAAACCACTCGCGCAGCTCCTGTGGAGAGAGGGGCTCCCGGCGAGACGCAGCAGCAGGAGAAACCCCAGGCTCAGCAGCTCCAGACTCAGTACCCCCAGGCTCAGCAGCTCCCGACCCAGCACCCCCAGACCCAGCACCCCCTAGCTAAGCAGCTCCAGGCACCGTACCCCCCGGCTCAGCACCCCCAGGCTCAGCACCCTCCGCAGTAGCACTCCCAGGCCCAGCACCCCCAGGCTCAGCACCCCCAGTAGCAGCACCTCCAGGCTCGGTACCCCCGCGCACAGCACCCCCAGAGTCAGCACCCCCAGGCTCAGCACCCGCAGCAGCACCAGAGTCACCAGTAACCTCGACCGGGTCAACTGCGTCTACCTGGGACACACCTGAGGGGGCAGGAACCTGAGGGGGGAGGGGGTCTACCGGGGGGGGAACTGGCACAAGGAAGTCCGGCGGAGGGGGGAGGGAAGGAGTGCGGTAGGGGAAGAGGCGGTAGAAGGGGACTGATTCGTCGAACGTGACGTCCCGGGAGGACAGAACACGACGAGAGGAGGGGTGGTAAAACTGCCACCCGGGAGCGTCTGTGGGGAAGCCAAGGAAGACACAGGGAGCAGCACGAGGGGACAGCTTGTCCGCAGACAAGTCGCGGACAAACGCCCGAGATCCCCAGACACGGAACGCCGACGCATCGCCAACCTTCCCCGTCCACAGCAAAGCTGGGGAGGTCTCCGGTCGGGAGACTCTGGGCTGAAGGTTGATCTGATGCGCGGCGTACCGAACCGCAAACGGCCACAGAAAATGGGGGGCAGCCGCATGCACCATGGACGTACGGGCGACGTCCATGACAATGCCGATGCGGCGCTCAGCAATCCCATTCTGCTGTGGAGAGTCCGGAAGCGTGAAGGTCTGGCGGATGCCTCGTGCCCGACAGTAGGCTCGCAGAAGGCCGGAGGAGAACTCTCCGCCTCTGTCCGAATGCAGACGCAGAACAGGAAAGTCCGAGCCGAAGCTCCGCCTGAGCTGGAGACGAGCTGCGCGGATCCAGTCGATCAACACCTCAGTGACCTCACCCTTGCTGTGCAAGGGGAAGACTGTGGTGTAACGCGAGTAGTCGTCAACCACCAGCAGGAAGTAGCGCTCGTGACCCTGTCCACGGACGCGGGCTGGGC